CTCATCCCCCCCCCATCACCCCTTGTGACCCCCATGTCCTCCTGACCCCCCCATCACCCCTTGTGACCCCCATGTCCTCCTGCCCCCCCATCACCCCTTGTGACCCCCATGTCCCCCTGCCCCCCATCACCCCTTGTGACCCCCATGTCCTCCTGACCCCCATCACCCCTTGTGACCCCCACGTCCTCCTGCCCCCCATCACCCCTTGTGATCCCCATGTCCTCCTGCCCCCCCATCACCCCTTGTGACCCCCATGTCCCCCTGCCCCATCACCCCTTGTGACCCCCACGTCCTCCTGACCCCCCATCACCCCTTGTGACCCCCATGTCCCCCTGCCCCCCCATCAGCCCTTGTGACCCCCATGTCCCCCTGCCCCATCACCCCTTGTGACCCCCATATCCTCCTGCCCCCACATCACCCCTTGTGATCCCCATGTCCCCCTGCCCCCCCATCACCCCTTGTGACCCCCATGTCCCCCTGCCCCCCCATCACCCCTTGTGACCCCCATGTCCCCCTGCCCCCCCATCACCCCTTGTGACCCCCATGTCCTCCTGCCCCCCATCACCCCTTGTGACCCCCATGTCCTGACCCCCATCACCCCTTGTGACCCCCACGTCCCCCTGCCCCCCATCACCCCTTGTGACCCCCATGTCCTCCTGCCCCCATCACCCCTTGTGACCCCCACGTCCTCCTGCCCCCCATCACCCCTTGTGACCCCCATGTCCTCCTGCCCCCCCATCCCTCAGTGACCCCCACGTCCTCCTGCCCCCCCATCACCCCTTGTGACCCCCATGTCCTCCTGCCCCCCCATCACCCCTTGTGACCCCCATGTCCTCCTGCCCCCCATCACCCCTTGTGACCCCCATGTCCTCCTGCCCCCATCACCCCTTGTGACCCCCATGTCCTCCTGCCCATCACCCCTTGTGACCCCCATGTCCTCCTGCCCCCCCATCACCCCTTGTGACCCCCATGTCCTCCTGCCCATCACCCCTTGTGACCCCCACGTCCTCCTCTGTCCCCCATCACCCCTTGTGACCCCCATGTCCTCCTGACCCCACATCACCCCTTGTGACCCCCATGTCCTCCTGACCCCACATCACCCCTTGTGACCCCCATGTCCCCCTGCCCCCCCATCACCCCTTGTGACCCCCATGTCCTCCTGCTCCCCCATCACCCCTTGTGACCCCCATGTCCTCCTGTCCCCCATCACCCCTTGTGACCCCCATGTCCCACTCCATACCCCCCCATATCCCAGACCCCCCACGTCCCCCCATCACCCCCAATGACCCCCCCATGACCACCATGGACCCCAAGACCCCCCCAGTGCCCCCCCCCAACTCACCAGGGCTCCCCTTGCCCCCGCGCTGGGTCGCTGAGCTCGGGGGGGTCCTGGGGCCGGGGGGGGGTCCCGGGGGGCCGGGGGGGGGCCCCGTCGCTGGTGGCCGCGGCCCGTTCCAGCCCCCCCAGCTTCCAGTCCCCCCCCGGGGCCACGTAAATGGCCCCGAGCCCCAGCGCGTGGTGAACGAGCCCCGAGGAGCACAGGAACGACAGCGCCGTCTGCGGGACACAAGGGGCGGAGCACCCATAGCGCTGGGACCCATAGGGCTGGGACCCATAGGGCTGGGACCCATAGGGCTGGGACCCATAGGGCTGGGATCCATAGGGAAGGGACCCATAGGGAAGGGACCCGTAGGGAAGGGACCCATAGGGCTGGGATCCATAGAGCTGGGATCCATAGAGCTGGGACCCATAGGGAAGGGACCCATAGGGCTGGGACCCATAGGGAAGGGACCCATAGGGAAGGGACCCATAGGGCTGGGACCCATAGAGCAGGGACTCATAGCGCTGGGATCCATAGGGAAGGGACCCATAGAGCACGGACCCATAGGGCAGGGACCCACAGAACAGGGCACCCATAGAGCAGGGACCCATAGAGCAGAGCACCCATAGGCCAGGGACTCATAGAACAGGCCACCCATAGAGCAGGGCACCCATAGCGCAGGGACCCATAGAGCAGGGCACCCGTAGAGCAGGGCACCCGTAGAGCAGGGGACCCATAGAGCAGGCACCCATAGAGCAGGGACCCATAGAGCAGGACACCGTAAAGCAGGGCACCCATAGAGCAGGGAGCCATAGCGCAGGGCACCCATAGAGCAGAGCACCCATAGCGCAGGGCACCCATAGCGCAGAGCACCCACAGAGCAGGGACCCATAGTGCAGAGCACCCACAGAGCAGAGCACCCATTGCGCAGAGCACCCATAGAGCAGGGCACCCATAGAGCAGAGTACCCATAGCGCAGGGACCCCATAGCGCAGAGCACCCATAGCACAGAGCACCCATAGAGCAGGGCACCCACAGCGCAGAGCACCCATAGAGCAGAGCACCCACAGAGCAGGGCACCCATAGAGCAGGGCACCCATAGCTCAGAGCACCCATAGAGCAGGGCACCCATAGCGCAGAGCACCCATAGCGCAGGGACCCCATAGCGCAGGGCACCCATAGAGCAGAGCACCCATAGAGCAGAGCACCCATAGAGCAGGGACCCATAGCTCAGAGCACCCATAGAGCAGAGCACCCACAGCGCAGGGCACCCACAGCGCAGAGCACCCATAGCGCAGAGCACCCACAGCGCAGGGCACCCATAGAGCAGGGCACCCATAGAGCAGAGCACCCATAGCGCAGGGCACCCACAGCGCAGAGCACCCACAGAGCAGGGCACCCATAGCGCAGAGCACCCACAGCGCAGAGCACCCATAGCGCAGAGCACCCACAGCGCAGGGCACCCACAGCGCAGAGCACCCACAGAGCAGAGCACCCATAGCGCAGGGCACCCACAGCGCAGAGCACCCACAGCGCAGAGCACCCACAGCGCAGAGCACCCATAGCGCAGGGCACCCATAGAGCAGAGCACCCATAGAGCAGAGCACCCATAGAGCAGAGCACCCACAGCACAGAGCACCCATAGCGCAGGGCACCCATAGAGCAGAGCACCCACAGCACAGAGCACCCATAGCGCAGGGCACCCATAGAGCAGAGCACCCATAGAGCAGAGCACCCACAGCACAGAGCACCCATAGCGCAGGGCACCCACAGCGCAGAGCACCCATAGCGCAGGGCACCCATAGCGCAGAGCACCCATAGAGGAGGGCACCCATAGAGCAGGACCCCATAGCGCAGAGCACCCATAGCGCAGAGCACCCACAGTGCAGAGCACCCATAGAGCAGAGCACCCATAGCGCAGGGCACCCATAGCGCAGAGCACCCATAGAGGAGGGCACCCATAGAGCAGGACCCCATAGCGCAGAGCACCCATAGCGCAGAGCACCCACAGCGCAGGGCACCCATAGCACAGAGCACCCATAGCACAGGCACCCACAGCGCAGGGCACCCACAGCGCAGGGCACCCACAGCGCAGGGCACCCACAGCACAGAGCACCCATAGCACAGAGCACCCATAGCACAGAGCACCCATAGCACAGAGCACCCACAGCGCAGGGCACCCACAGCACAGAGCACCCACAGCACAGAGCACCCATAGAGCACAGCACCCACAGCACAGAGCACCCATAGAGCAGAGCACCCACAGCACAGAGCACCCATAGAGCAGAGCACCCACAGCGCAGGGCACCCATAGAGCAGAGCACCCACAGCGCAGAGCACCCATAGAGCAGAGCACCCATAGCGCAGGGCACCCACAGCGCAGGGCACCCATAGAGCAGAGCACCCATAGAGCAGAGCACCCACAGCGCAGGGCACCCACAGCACAGAGCACCCATAGAGCACAGCACCCACAGCACAGAGCACCCATAGAGCAGAGCACCCACAGCACAGAGCACCCATAGAGCAGAGCACCCACAGAGCAGAGCACCCATAGAGCAGAGCACCCATAGAGCAGAGCACCCACAGCACAGAGCACCCATAGAGCAGAGCACCCATAGCGCAGGGCACCCACAGCGCAGGGCACCCATAGAGCAGAGCACCCATAGAGCAGAGCACCCACAGAGCAGAGCACCCACAGAGCAAAGCACCCACAGAGCAGAGCACCCACAGAGCAGAGCACCCATAGCGCAGGGCACCCATAGAGCAGAGCACCCATAGAGCAGAGCACCCACAGCACAGGGCACCCATAGAGCAGAGCACCCATAGCGCAGGGCACCCACAGCGCAGAGCACCCACAGCGCAGAGCACCCATAGAGCAGAGCACCCACAGCACAGAGCACCCATAGAGCAGAGCACCCACAGAGCAGAGCACCCATAGAGCAGAGCACCCATAGAGCAGAGCACCCACAGCACAGAGCACCCATAGAGCAGAGCACCCATAGCGCAGGGCACCCACAGCGCAGGGCACCCACAGAGCAGAGCACCCATAGAGCAGGGCACCCACAGAGCAGGGCACCCATAGAGCAGAGCACCCACAGCGCAGGGCACCCATAGAGCAGAGCACCCACAGCGCAGAGCACCCACAGAGCAGAGCACCCACAGAGCAGAGCACCCATAGCGCAGAGCACCCACAGAGCAGAGCACCCATAGCGCAGAGCACCCATAGCGCAGAGCACCCACAGCGCAGAGCACCCACAGCGCAGAGCACCCACAGCGCAGAGCACCCATAGCGCAGGGCACCCATAGAGCAGAGCACCCACAGCACAGAGCACCCATAGCGCAGAGCAACCACAGCGCAGAGCAACCACAGCGCAGAGCACCCACAGCACAGAGCACCCACAGCACAGAGCACCCATAGCGCAGAGCACCCACAGCGCAGGGCCCCCCCCACTCACCAGGAGCTGGTGCAGGCCCCAGGCCACCTCCTGCTCCCCCATGGCCCCGGTCGGGGGCCGCAGCCGCAGGTGCCTCCGCAGCGGCGTCACCTCCTCGGTCACCAGGTACAGGCTCTGCTCCGTCTGCGGGCGCCGCCGCACCGTCAGCACCCATCGGCACCCACTGGCACCCGCTGGCACCCATTGGCACCCATTGGCACCCACTGGCACCCATCGGCACCCACTGGCACCCATTGGCACCCATCGGCACCCACTGGCACCCATTGGCACCCACTGGCACCCATTGGCACCCATCAGCACCCCTTGGCACCCATCGGCACCCACTGGCACCCATCGGCACCCACTGACACCCATTGGCACCCACTGGCACCCATCGGCACCCACTGGCACCCATTGGCACCCACTGGCACCCATCGGCACCCATCAGCACCCCTTGGCACCCATCGGCACCCACTGACACCCATCGGCACCCACTGGCACCCACTGGCACCCATTGGCACCCACTGGCACCGTCAGCACCCATTGGCACCCACTGGCACCCACCGGCACCCATTGGCACCCATTGGCACCCACTGGCACCCATTGGCACCCATTGGCACCCACTGGCACCCACTGGCACCCATCGGCACCCACTGGCACCCATCGGCACCCACTGGCACCCACTGGCACCCATCAGCACCCATTGGCACCCTCACCTCCAGGCTGTCCAGGTACCCCAGCACGTTGGGGTGCCTCAGGGTGCGCAGGCGCTTCAGGGCCGCCCGGGCCAGGGCCGTGGCAGCCGCGTCCCCCGGGACCAGGCTGTGGCAGAACACCGAGACCGGGGCCCCGTCCGCCTGCGGGGATGGGGCTGTGGGGTAAGGGGATGGGGGACATGGGGGGACATGGGGATGGGGAGGACATGGGGGGGACAGGGAGGAGGTGGGGATGGGGGGACATGGGAACAGGGGGCACATGGTGGGGACAGGGGGGACGCGGGGATGGGGGACATGGGGGGACATGGGGACAGGGGGGACATGGGGGGGACATGGGGGGGACATGGGGACATGGGGATGGGGGGGACATGGGGGGGACATGGGGGGGACATGGGGGGGACATGGGGGGGACATGGGGGGGGGGGGGACATGGGGGGGACATGGGGGATAGGGGGCACATGGGGGGGGGGACATGGGGGATGGGGGGACATGGGGGGGACATGGGAACAGGGGCCACATGGGGATGGGGGGACATGGGGGGGACAGGGGGGACATGGGGGGGACAGGGAGGACATGGGGATGGGGGGACATGGGAACGGGGGGCACATGGTGGGGACAGGGGGGACACGGGGATGGGGGGACATGGAGTACATGGGGGGAACAGGGGGGACATGGGGGGACATGGGGGGAACAGGGGGGATGTGGGGATGGGGGGGACATGGGGATGGGGGGGACATGGGACATGGGGGTCACGGGGGACATGGGGATGGGGGGACATGGGGGGACACGGGGATGGGGACATCGTGATGGGGGAGACATGGGGGGGGGGGACACGGGGGTGGGGGATACGGGGATGAGGGGGACAAGGGGATGGGGGGGACACGGGGGGGACGGGGGGACATGGGGATGGGGGGACATGGGAATGGGGGGGACACGGGGATGGGGGATACGGGGATGAGGGGGACAAGGGGATGGGGGGACCCGGTGATGGGGCCGAGCACCCGGGGGGCACCGCCGGGCCCTGGGTGACGCCGCTCCCCGAGCCCCCCCCTCACCTTCCGCCGTCCCCGCAGCAGCCGCCAGAGCGGGGCCGGGTCCGGGTCGGGGTCGGGGTCGGGGTCCGGGTCCGGGTCCGGTCCGGGCTGTCCCAGCTCGAAGGGGAAGTCCCGGACCGGGTCCCTGGAGAAGAGCCACATGGCGGGGGGCGGCGGGACCGGGGCGGGAGAGGCCGGGACCGGGACCGGGACCGGGGCCGGGCCCGGAGGAAACGGCAGCGGCTCCGGGCGGGAGGATCCGGTGACGGACCAGGGGGCGTGGCGTGAGGGAAGGGGCGGGGTCATAGGCGGGGAGGAGGGCGGTGATTGGGGGAGGCGGGGAAGGGGGCGTGGCCACAGAAGGGGGATGCGCGTGAACCGCCGCGGGGGGGGTGGAGGAGAAGGGGCGGGGCCTGTGGGCGAGGGGCGGGGCCTTAGCGTAACCAGGGACGCTGCGAGTGGGGGGCGTGGCCAGGGTGTGGCTTGAAAGGGGGCGTGGCCCGGAAGCGACACGCGGCAGGGGCGGGTGGTGACGTCACCACCAGGCTGGCGAAAACCTGCTAGTGACGTCACAGGAAACGGGCGGGGACGCTGTGACGTCACAAACCCCTCCCCGCCCAATAGACACAACACGAAACCGGTCAAGCCTCAGCCGTTTATTGGTCACCGGGGCGGAGGGGGGCGGGCACACGCTCCTGTCGCGACATGAGGCACCCGTTGCATGGGCTCTGTCGCGACTCTGCTCACCAGGCACGCGCTGGGCTCCCGCCGGCCAACGGAGGCCTCACAGCACCACGACCCTTGTCACAACATGAGGTCCCTGTCGCGACATGGGCGCAGCCCCTGCCCCTGTATCGTGAAGGACCCAGAGCAAAGTGGGGCTCTGTGGGCGTGGAGAGAGGGGATACTGCAGTAAGGGGTCCCTGTGACCCTACTGCAATATGGGGTCACTGCTGCCCCCTATCATGATATGGGGTCCCTGTCATGACAGGGAGTCCTTACTGCAGTATGGGGTCACTGCTGCCCCCTATCATGATATGGGGTCCCTGTCATGACAGAGAGTCCTTACTGCAGTATGGGGTCCCTGCTGCCCCCTATCAGGGATGCCCCAAAGCAACATGAGAGGTCCAGAGAGGGAAAGGAGCTACTGCAGTAAGGGGTCCCTGTCGTGATAAGGGGGAGTCCATCACACTATGGGGTCCCTGTCACGACAAGGGGGGGTCCATCACACTATACAATCCCTATCGTGATAAGGGAGAGTCCATCACACTATGGGGTCCCTGTCATGATAAAGGGGAGCCCATCACACTATGGGGTACCTGTCATGATAAGGGGGAGCCCATCACACTATGGGGTCCCTGTCGTGATAAGGGGGAGCCCATCACACTATGGGGTCCCTGTCACAGTTAGGGGGGTGTACATCACACTATGGGGTCCCTGTCGTGATAAGGGGGGGTCCATCACACTATACAATCCCTATCGTGATAAGGGAGAGTCCATCACACTATGGGGTCCCTGTCGTGATAAGGGGGAGCCCATCACATTATGGGGTCCCTGTCACCATAAGGGGGCATCCATCACACTGTGGGGTTAGTCACAATAAGGGGGGGTCCCTCACACTATGGTGCCCTGTCGCGATAAGGGGGGGTGTCACCCCTATCCATGTATCATAGCTGCCCCAAAGCAACACAGAGAGATGGGGGGGGGTCCTACAGTAAGGGGCTTCCTGTTACGCCACGGGGCTCTTCTTGTGCCACGGGGTTCCTGTTGCGCCATGGGGGGCTCCCGTTGCGCCATGGGGGGCTCCTGTCGCGCCATGGGGCTCCCGTTGCGCCATGGGGCTCCTGCCGCGCCATGGGGGGCTCCTGTCGTGCCATGGGGCTCCTGCCGCGCCATGGGGGGCTCCTGTCGTGCCATGGGGCTCCTGTCGCGCCATGAGGCTCCTGTCGCGCCATGGGGCTCCTGTCGTGCCATGGGGCTCCTGTCGTGCCATGGGGCTCCTGTCGCGCCATGGGGCTCTTGTTGTGCCATGGGGCTCCTGTCGTGCCATGGGGCTCCTGTTGCGCCATGAGGCTCCTGTCGCGCCATGGGGCTCTTGTCGTGCCATGGGGCTCCTGTCGTGCCATGGGGCTCCTGTCGCGCCATGGAGCTCCTGTCACGCCATGGGGGGCTCCTGTCACGCCATGGGGCTCCTGTCGCGCCATGGGGGGCTCCTGTCACGCCATGGGGGGCTCCTGTCACGCCATGGGGGGGCTCCTGTCACGCCATGGGGCTCCTGTCGCGCCATGGGGGGCTCCTGTCACGCCATGGGGGGCTCCTGTCACGCCATGGGGGGGCTCCTGTCGTGCCAAGCAGCGGGTGCCGCAGGGGGTCGAACCCTGCCCCGGGCGCAGCTCCGGGGGTGCCACCACCGGCGCCTTTTGCTTTTTTTTTTGGGGTCATTTTGGGGCTTTTTGGGGGGGCGGAGGCGAAAAAGCAAAACCTGAGACAACGCTGGGGGGGTTCTCTCAGGAAAAGAAAAAACCTCCGGGGGGGGAGGGGCGGGGGCGGGGCAGCCCCTCCCCCACAGGGGGGTGCTGGGTGGGGAGACCCCAAAACACCCCAAAAATGTGCGATTTTGGGGACAAAACCCTACAATCAATGCAACAGCCCCCAGGGGAACGGCGCCAAAACCGGGGGGGGTTAAAACAGCTTTTAACTGGAAAAAGGAGGATTTGGGAGGAAAATGGGGTGAGAAATGGGGATTTTGGGTCAGGATCACAGTCCCCTGGTGCAAAATGGGATCAGAAAGTGGGGGTTTGGGTCAGAATCGTGCTCCCCTCAGTCCCAAAACGGGGTTAGAAATGGGGATTTGGGGTCAAGGTCACGCGCCCCCATCGCAAAACAGGCACGGGAAAGGGGGGGGGGGGGGCAGGGCAGGGGTCCCTTCCCCAGGCGCAAAATGGGCTCAGAAAGAGGAATTTTGGGTCAGGCGCAAAAAAGGCTCCTTTAGGGAGAGGTTGGGGTCGCGCTCCCATTGCAGAAATGGGCTCAGAAAGCAGGATTTTGGGTCAGAGCTGTGCTCCCTTGGCCACAGCAGGCTCAGAACAAGGTGGGGGGGGGGGGGGTGTCCCCAGGTACTTACTCACTCGCTCACCTCCTGCCTGGTGTTTTGGGGGCATTTTCTAGTTTTTAGCCATTTTTGGGAGCCAATTGTCCATTTTGGGGCCAATCGAGGCTGTTTTGACACAAAGACTGCTTGGGGGGGGGGGGGGGGGGGGGGGGGATGACAACAACAGCACCAGGAACAACAGCGGGACCAAGCAGAGCCTCTGAGCTCCTCCCTACCCAAAACCTCTGCGGCTCCTCAACTCCTAGCGCTTTTGAGGGAAAAAACTGGGAAAACAGTTAAAAAGAGCCTCCCCCCTCCCCTTTCCAAGCAACACGCAGCGGGTTTTCGGGGGGGAAAAGCCACATTTTAGTTCAATCTCCCTCCAATAGGGCCCTTTGGGGGGGGGGGGTGTTTGTTGTTAAATCTGTGGCTTTTGGGGAGGGGGGAAGTGGAATTTGGGGAGAAAAGCAGCAATTCCCATCGCGTCCCAGTGCGGAATGGCTCATTTTTAGGGGGGAAAGCAGCAAAAATACCCTTTTTTGGTGCTATTTTTTCTGCCTACGTGCTCCTGAAGACCCTTTTAGGGGCTTTTTTGCCCCAGTGTGGCTGTTGGCAGCTGTGAATCCTCAACAATGGAATGGGGGGGGCTCTGGAAAAAACACCCACAAGACACAACCCCCACCCCCAGCCCCGTTTTGGGGGTTAAAGCAGCAAAACCCGCTCCAGTTTTACCCATTTCAGCCCAATTCCCATCGTTTCTCCGTGCTGGAACGGGGGGGAGGGGGTGGGATATTGGGGGGGGGGGGGGTGAAGGGGGCAAACATGCCACGAGGTGCATGGGGAAGGGGCAGTGATCCCACCAATGGCACAACCGAGTCCCGCCCCCCCCCCATGCCACCGAAAACGGCCGAAAACGCCCCAAAACCCCCAAATCCACACCCAGAAATAGACGTCAAAAAAAGCCAGTTTTGTGCCTCCCCCCCCCACATTTCCACCGCTGTTTTGGGGGGGTTTACGTTAGGTTTTCCTATGGGAAGCTCCTGGGAATACTCGGGATGAAAGTCCTCATTTTCCAGCTCCGTTTTGGGGGGGGGAAAGGGGGGGTTCTTCAAGCTGCCTCCCAGCACAGCATCTGTGGAAAGGCTGGGAACAGGCCCCCCAACACCCCCCTCCCCCCCCCAAAATCCCAACGGCAACACCCAAAACCCTCCCAATTCAACCCAAACTCTTACTTCAGCCCGGCTTCCGTGGTATCAAATCGCTGCCTTTAGCCCCATGGGCGCTGGGGAAAGCTCCCGTTTTGGGTGCAGACTGGCCTTTTTGGGCAAATCCTGGCCCTTGGAATCACGGTTTTTGCTTTGCTTGGCATTTTTCTCACCATTATCTGCCTTTTTCCTGTGTTTTTCCTGCATTTTTCCTGCGTTTTTCCTGAATTTTTCCTTTTTTTTTTCCTGTTTTCCTGCATCTTGGCTGCTTCTCTGAGGGTGGAAAAACACTCGAGACACCCCCCTATCCCTCCCCCAGAAAACAAACCACCATTTCCCCCCTTTCCTCCCCCTTTTCCAGAGCCTTTTGTCCGTCCGTCCCTCCCTCACATCACCACTTTTGGGAGCAAAGAGAAGGATTTTGGAGCACTTACTCTGCGGCGCCGGCGGGACCTAAGCCCGGAGCTTGGGGACGCTGGAGATGTGTTGGGGGGGGAATTTTCCCATTTCTTGGGAGTTTTATGGCAAAAAGAGGGGGGGGGCGGGCGCGGAGCAGCGCCTGCGGTGCCTGCAATGACAAGAGCCCCCCAGCGCCCACCAAACCCCCCCCCGACCCCCCCCTCCCCAAATGGGGCCAGGCCTCACCGGCTGCGGCTCCTGCTCCAGCCCCACAAGCTCCGGCTCCTCTTGGCTTCAATGCCTCAAACCTTCCGGGGCGCTTCCCGGCCCCCTCGCCTCGCTCTACCCTGGTCCCGCCGGCGCCGCTGCCTCCATTGGAGCGCTCCCGTTTTTCCTCTCCTTCCTCTTCTACCGCCTTCGCCCATCTCCTCTCTTCCCTCCATCGCTCCCGTGCCTCGGTCTCGTCCTTCCTCCTGCTCTGCCT